CCCGGCTGTGCTCCTCCCACCTCCTCCCCGGCTGTGCTCCTCCCGCCTCCTCCCCGGCTGTGCTCCTCCCGCCCCCTCCCTGGCTGTGCTCCCCTTGTGGAGTGAGCCACATGCGTCCTCTCCCTTGCTGTGACCTGCGCGTTTGGATGTTTGAATCCTGTTTCTAAGTGCCTGGCTGTATGGACAGTCTTCTACACAGTTTTCCTTTTTTTTTTTTAATGAAAATTCTTTGTATTTTTCTAGCAATTATTTATTAGGTTGTGTTCTCAGAACTTTTATAAAAGCATGTTTTGGAACTTCAATGTTGCCAATTTTCCTCAGTTTTTTTCTTTCCTTCAGCTTGTCTCTTCAAAAGTTTCATTTTCCGGGTAATATCACCACCATAAGAGTTTTCCTTTAACGAGACACCTGCAGAAAAAGCTCTCGGGCCACCCCAACATCGTCCAGTTTTGTTCTGCGGCCTCTATAGGAAAGGAAGAGTCGGACACGGGCCAGGCCGAGTTCCTGCTGCTGACGGAGCTCTGCAAAGGTAAGTGTCCTCTCGTGTCTACGCTCCTTAGAGGCGGGGACGGGGAAGCTCCGCCTCACTCCTGGGGGTGTTGTCAGAGCGGCCAGTCTTTGGCAAGGACACAGCGATTACAGCAGTGGCCTTTAGCACGGTGGCCAGATCGGGCATGCGCAGGACCATGTAACTTTGCTGAGTTGGAGTTGGCAACAGCTCTAATGAAGGACACAGCCATCCCACAGTGCCACGGAAGAGTGGCCTGGCACTTGGCATCTGTAAGGATGACGGCCATGCAGTCCCCCGGGGGCATGGTGCTTGTCTCTCTGGGGTCAGTTGGGGTTGGAGTTGACTCTGAAGCAGAAGGTTTGATGGTGTTTCTCTCAGACACACCGGTTGTGCCTAAACCGATGAGGGCGTGTAGCCTGGGCAGAAGGAGCCTGGAGGGAGCGGGCCTGGGAGCCCAGGGCAGGTGTGCCAGCCAGCCAGGTGGCGTGCAGCCAGCCCTCCAGATGGGAGCTGGAAGTGGGGTCTCCTTCAGCTGTGCTGCTGCGTGGAGGTGTCAGAGTTGAGTGTGTCTATCTGAAGGCAGGAGGGAGCTGGTGCTGGACTGGCCGCGGGACAGTCTGTGTGTGTGAGGAAGACTCTCGACAGGATGGACCGACCAGTGACGGCTGCAGTGGGTCAGAGGTGCTGAGAACGGCACCGGATAGGACGTTTATGAGGTCACTATGAGGTGTCCAGGTCTTCCATTCATACGGTCGCTATGAGTCGTCTATGACTCAACAGCACTTAACAACAACAACAGAGAGAGCTCTGCTGGCCTAGTGGATAGAAAGTGATGCTACCTAGCCAAAGGTGGGTGATTTTAATCTGCAGCTCTCGGACATGGTTTTAATTGTTTTTGGTGAAACATTCTACATGGTATAGCCCTGGTCTGTCCATTTGCTGTACAGAGGTAACTCGTGGTTGCTGTGAAGCTAAACACTGTGACACTGATGTGTCAAATGCGATAATGGTTGCCCATGGTGGACAGTGTTTGGTGGAGCTCCCTGATTAAAACAAGCTTAGAAGGAGGAGTGGCATCCACTTCCAAATAGCTTGCCTCCGGAAACCCTATGAACCAGGAGAAATGATGAAAGTTATACAAAGTGTTCATGTCTTTCGTTCATAGGGTCGTTATGAGTCGTCTACGACTCGATGGCACTTAAAACAACAGCATGAGTTGTACTTGATGGCAGCTAACGGCACTGTGTGCTCACTGAAAAGATGCTGATGCGGTCCGGCTGCAGAGACGCTTGAAGAAATGCGCTTTTTACTGGGCACACCTCTCTTTTTTTATGAAGGCAGCCAGATAAAGTCTGTATTTTTTTTTCCCACGGAAAAAAATGTTTCTTGTTCTAGTATGCATTTTTTTAAAATTATCATATTTTTAATGCAATATATATATATATTTATATTTTTACAGTATATTCTTCCCACTTAGTTTTTCCCCCATTCATTCATTGTTGCACATTTTTCTCCCCTCTCCCCTCCCCCAGTTCACTTTTATCTTTGAAAAGAAAAAAAAATTCTGTCATTGTTATACGATCTCCCCCAATCCGCAGTCCATTTTACTATGCATTTCTTTTGCTTGAATCTTGTCATGACAATAATACCTAATCCTGTATTCCTTTTAAACAGTTCTCTCTCTCATCTGTTTCAATGCAGTATACATTATTTATCCCCTTTTCTTAGGTTCCTCCCAACCCCGACGTCAGTCTTGTTTTACAACAGTGGCACTATGCAGTATTTGTCCTTTTATAATGGAGATATTTCACTCAGCATAATGTCCTCCAGGGTCACCCATTTTGCATAATATTTCTTGAGTTCCTGCATAGATAGAGAAGCTGTAGTATATTCCCACAATGGAATACTATGCTGCATTGAAACATAAGGAACACTTCTTTTTTACAAGCAAGCTGTGGCAGGGGTGTGTCTTCCTGCCATTCTCTGCCCCTAGGGCAGCTTTCTGCAGCCCTGAGCAAGGACAGGGAGGCGGTGGCCCGCAGCCATTCCCGAGAGTCTGGGTTAGATAGTGTGGCCTGGGGCTGGGGCTGCTGCCCTCTGAAAGCCGGGGTGATGCTGTGGGTGATGGAGATCTCAGCTGGGAGTGAGTTGCCAGGCTGCTGAGCCCGAGGTAGAGCCGCCAGGGTGCGCTGACCACGTGGCACTGGCCGAGTGGGTGTGAGTGCGGCCTGCGGGCAACGGGGACCTCCAGCCTCTTCTCACTCCAGGAGGCAGAAGGAGAAGCAGCTAAGCTCAACATCAGTCCGTGGCCGTGTCTTCTGAGGTGACGCCGACACTCCTCCTCTCCGTCCACTTATTTCCCCAGCTTTGACACCAGCTGTCTGTCACCTGGCTTTAGGCTCTGCTGGGCCGGATAATTGGTTGCAGTGGCCACACAGAGCTCACAGGCTGTGCTCAGGGCTGTGACATTGCGTGGGAAAGTCACGGGCAGGAAGCATGTGGACTCAGATCTCCCCTCCTCTGTCCAGGACAGGGCAGCTCGCGCAGGACATGCTCCCAGCAGGCCCGCAGCATCCTTTCTCTCAGCCCTTGCTCCTGCTTGGTCCTGGCCGCTGCCCCTCTGAGTCAAATGTTACAGAGCTTGTTAGCTCCACCATTAGGGGTCCTGGGGCCCCCACTCTGCCATCCAGTCTCCTGCCTGTTGTTAGATAGAAAAAAGAGTTGAGAGACAGAGAAAGAAAGGAGCTGGTCCCAAGAAACGAACAGGCCTTTATTGGGAGCTCTGAGAGGGACGCCAAGGGACCATATTCTTCCCCCACCCCGAGGTGCTCCTTGGTGCTCCCTGGTATTCCGTGGTGCCCCCTGGTGCTCCCTCTGGCCTCGTGCTTGGCCCACACACTGGAACCACCTTGGTGGTGTGTCCCATCCCATCCTGTCTGTCCTGCACCAGCCTGCTGGTTCAGCTGTTCCCCAGGCACGCTCCTTGCTGGCAGCTCCCTCTGTCTCCATCTCCTGGAAGCAGGAGGTTCTCGGTGCCAGGACTCTGGGCTCGAACGCTGTGCTTCTCCTGACTCTTTTCAGGAATATCCTCAATTCCTTGTGGAATGTCGAGTGAGATGGCAGAACCGACTGACCCGTGTTAGTCCTTGCTTCACTGTTTCTCCCTGATAACAGAAGTTCCGTAAAGTTGCAGGGAGCCTTATTTGCATTCTGAGCAAATTAGCCAATCCTGTCGGTGGCCGTGCCTACATTATTTGCATATCCTACCCACCGATTTTGCAGGAGTATGTGTGCGTGCATAGCTAGAAGGCCTATGAAGTCATTTACTGCTCTGGGTTGTCCTATGTTCTTGGGTGCCCCCTGTTGTTGTTGGGTGCCGTCCAGTCAGGTATGACTCATAGTGACCCTGTGAACAAAAGATCTGAGCCCTGTTCTGTCTTGTGCAGTCCTCACACTTCCTGACACATAAGAGCCCATTGCAACAGTCACTGGGTCAGTCCACCTGGTTGAGAGTCTTTTCTCCTTCGTCCACCCTCTACCCTTCCTAGCATCATGCCCTTCTCCAAGGAATAGTCCTTCCTAGCAACATGCCCGAAGTATGTGAGGCGAAGTCTGATCAGTCTTGCCTCCAAAGAGCACTCTAGCTGCACCCTCCAGAAGATTTATCTGTTCTCTTGGCCGTCCATGGGATGTTCAGTGCTCTTCTCCAATACCACAGCTCAAAGGTTTCAATTCTTTTTCTGTTACCCTTATTCATTGTCCAGCCCTCAGATACATAGCTAGTGATTGGAAAGACTATGGCCTGAATCATATGCTCCTTAGTCCTCAGACTGACATCATTAGTCCTCAGTACCTTGGAGAAGTCCCTGACTGCAGATTTTCTGAGTGCAGTGCATTGCCTAGAGAGTGGCCCCAGGACCCTCTGGGTGGGCCCATGGGGTGAGTCCTCTCCACAGAATCTGTTTTTTCCTTTGTTCTCATGGGAGGCTACACCCATAGTCTGCTTGGTGATAGGTTAATGCTGAAATGGAATGTTGCCAGGTGAACAGCTCTTTGTTATTTGTGAAGACTGATGATTGTTCCGTTAGAGACCTAAGAAAAGATGTTTCTGTTTCTAGTGGTGTCTCTGTGGCCATCACAGCACCTGGCCCAGGTGTGGGTGTTGGGTCGGCTGCCCTGGCCTCCATGCTCTGAGAGTTGGCTCTCTCTGGTCCCCTCGGGTGGCTGGCATTCACGGTCCCACAGGGGATGGTGTCTGTGGTTTGCGTCCATTGCAGCGACTTGTCCTGCAGTGTCCCCTGCCCGCTCCTGTTGGTCATCAGCGCTCTCACGCTCCGGTGTAATGGGCAGTCCTTTCTGTGGGCGGGATCCTCGAAGCAAAGCAGCTGATAAAATCTCTTCTCTTGCGTCATCCAATTGGGCAAAACCCTCAGAGTGGCAGTTCCTGCTCCTCGGCCGTAGCCTAGCACAAGGCTGCAGCAGTGACCACTTGTGGGGCAGCGCACCTGTGGGGTCTGCGCCTGTGCAGGGTGCACCTGTGGGGGACACACCTGTGTGGCGTCACATCTGTAGGTGCGTGTGCCTCTGCAGGGTGCACTTGTGGGGGAAGCGCACCTGTGTGGGGCATGGACCTGGGGGAATGTGCACCTGTATGGGGTATGGGGGTGTGCACCTGTGGTGAGATGTACCTGTGTGGGGTACACCTGTGGGGGTGTGCACCTGTGTGTGGCTCACCTGTATGTGCACGCACCCGTGGGGGGTGCACTCCTGTTGGGGCGTGCACCTTTGTGAGCCATGCCTGTGTGGTGCTCACCTATAGCGGCCTGCACCTGTGTGGAGCACACCCCTGTAGGTGACAGGCCCTGGCCCAGGCCATGCACAGTAGAATGGTACCTGGGTTGTGGTGTTGGAATGTACAGTGTCCCGTCTATGGTGGCCGGTGAATGGACAGGGTGGCCTGTCTTTGCCAGTCAGGGAGGTTCTGGCACTTCTCATTCCCCGGTGATGGGCATTTGCTGGTCTCTTTCAGGGCAGCTGGTCGACTTTATAAAGAAAATCGAGTCCCGAGGGCCGCTCTCGTGCGATACGGTTCTGAAGATCTTCTATCAGACATGCCGGGCGGTGCAGCACATGCACAAGCAGAAGCCGCCCATCATCCACCGAGACCTCAAGGTACCGCCCGCCCTGCCCCCTGGTGGCCACACTGCCCTGCCGGCTGTGCTGAGGCCTGAGGACGTGTCACACGGCCCCTGTAGCACTGCTTCTCAGGGCACCACTCGCGTACGGCGTTGCTAGAACTGTGGGATGCCAGCCCCCGACATGGTGCCTGTAGCACTGCTTCCCAGGGGCTCCCACTCTTGTACGATGTTGATAGAATCTTGGGATGCCGGCCCCCAATACGGTGCCTGTAGCACTGCTTCCCAGGGGCACCCGCTTGAGTAGAGTGTTGCTTGAACCGTGGGATGCCGGCCCCCGACACAGCGACTGTAGCACTGCTTTCTAGGGATACTGGCTCGCGTACGGCGTTGCTAGAACCGTGGGGTGCCGGCCCCTCCAGGTTCCTGTGAACCCGTCCCTCACAGTAGAGAATGTCTACCCTCCCGCCTCGGCCCTGTGCGGTGGCCTCCTCTCTCCCTCCCTCCCCACCGCCTTCCAGTGGTGTCTTTCTCCAGGTTCAGGTCCCTCCCGCCAGCAGGCCCGAGTGATAGAGACCAGGCCCCACACCCCACTCTGAGGAGCGCGCTGCTGCCCTTCTTCTGTAACAGCCTTGTTCTGCAGTCCATGGGGGGCGGGTGCCGGGTGCGAGCAAGCAGGCCGACTGCCAGCGACCTGTGGATGACAGACACCGTCCTCGGCAATATGGGTGGACGCGGTGCCTGTCGCTGGGCTCTGGTAGAGCAGAGGGGACGGGTTGGCGCAGCACGGGGCCGGTGCAGGTCCGCTGCTCACGGGCTGCGTGCGCCCTCGCTGGCTCAGCGGCTCTCAGAACAGCGCGTCCAGCAGGAGGCCTGGCTCAGCCCTCACAGCCCCCCCTTGTTACGGGCCATCTCCGTGAGGGTCTTCTTCGCTGACCCTCCACCTTTCCAGAAGTCATGGCCACTTGTGAGGACATGATCAGAGGACGTGAGATTGTCTCGCAGATTTTGTTTTAAGGAGCTCTCTGGTTTGCTGCCTCCAGTACGGACGTGTTAGTTCCTGGGTCAGTCCGTGGGCTAGGAATGCTTTCCCATCAGTCCGGGCTAAGGCGTTGACTGCTTCCTCCTTGGCCTCCTCAGTCATTGTTTAACCTTCACGTGCACTAGGAAGCAGTTGAAAGAGCCAGAGTTCAGATCAGGTCTGCCTTTCTCTTCAAGCTGACCTCCTTGCTCTTAGGCACTTCAGATCCTTGACGGTACACTTGCTCACTGTGATGACTTTTTTGATTTCTTGACTTCTGCTCCTGTGGGTATTGGTAGCAGATCTCAGCGAAATGAAATCGTTGACAACTGCAGCCTTTTCTCCGCCTGTCCTGATGCTGCCTGCTGGTCCAGTAGCAAGGACTTGTGTTTTCTTGGTGTTGAGACGTGACGCTCATTAAAAGCTGCGTGTGGTCTTTGATCTTCTGCAGTCAGTGCTTCCTGCCCTCTTCACTTTCTGAAAGCAAGGTTGTGTCATGTGCATGTCACACTCAGGCTGGTGATGAGTCGTCCTCCCATCCTGATGCCACATGCCCCTTCGTAAACAGACCCCTCGGGGGGAAGGCAGAGCCTCGTGGAAAGTCTCACGTGCTCGGTGTAGCCTTCCTGAGTCAGTGCTGGGTGCGGTGAGCTCGGAGACCTGGGACCCTTTCTCCACACGGACTCCCGGCCTCTCTTTGCCCCAGCTTTGTGCTGTTTTCTGGCTACGTCTCAGGTGTCCAAGGCCGGCCATGGTGGGCGGGCCCTTTCTTGTCTTGGATGCGTGGGAAAGGCTGGAAGCTTGGGCCCAGCTGGATAGCCTGTCCCTGGTGTGTGTGCACATCTGTGTGTGGGGGGGTGTGCATGTTGTATGTGGGGTGTGAGCACTTGGTACATGTGAGGTTGTACATGTGTGAGTGTGTGTGTGTGTGTGTGGGTTTCTCGTTCCTGGGGTGAGCAGGAAGGCTCCTCCTTCCGAGAGGGAGAGGAGCTCTACCAGTGTGTGACCCTGGACAGTGGGCCCAAGGCTGGGCTCCAGGGGGCCTGCTGTGGTTGTTCATACCCAGGACCCAGGCTCTGGAAGACAGTTCCCAGGGCTCTTCACTGGTTTGAACTGGTTCACTCCTGCGAGACTCAGTGAAATCGGAACATCTGAATTTGTGAAGTGTGGGGGTCCTAGAATAGGTATACCGCGTGGTTTAAAGGCAGGAGAGGTGACGTCCACTCGCGTCCTCTCTCCATACCCGTTCAGCCTGTGTGCTGGGCAAGCTGTCCGGGAAGCTGCCCAGTGTGAAAACGTAGCATCAGGATTAGAGGGGGACTCAGCGTCAGCCTGCGATGCAGCTGACGTAACCTTGCTGCAGAAAGATCAGAAAACTCTGACCTTCAGTGTGGAGGACGTCTCAACCTCAGGAAAACCAGCGTTCTCCCCACTAGACCACTAGCCAGCTTCATGATGGGTGGAGAACAGGATTGACGTTGTCAATGATTCCATTGTACTTGGATCTGCAGTCAACACCCGGCGGTAACAGCCAGCAAAATACGAGTCACAGTGGGCAGATCGGCTGTCAAGGACCTTTCCACAGGCTTTGGGAAGGACGCTTAGTGCCGTGATATCCGTTTAAAAACTAAGAGGTCTCCTCCTGTGGGTGAGGCGGCTCCCTGCGTTAGGCTGAGAATGAACCACCCCAGGGAGGGCAGCCGCTCTGGCCTTGACTCCCACTACCCTCTCGTGTGTGTCTTTGGACGTGACCTGACCTGGCTTCTGCCCCTCCACGGCCTTGCCCAGCCCTCGCGGTCACAGCCCTCTGCATTTTACCTGGTCACTTGGCTGTGTCTGCTCTGTGTGCACGTTTTTCCTTATCCTGAGGAAGGTGTGGGTCCTCCTACAATCCCTGGGATTTGGGTGTCCTCTCTGGGAAAGTACTTGATAAAGGGGTTTTGCCTCTTCTTCTACTGAAGTTGTTTTATTCGTCTCAATCTGGAGGAATTCTTTCTACCTGTACATCCTGAGGTTTACGGGGGAAGCTCTGGGGGCCTCCTCTGGAAAGGCTTCCTCTGTGACCCAGAGTCCAGGCACCTGGCGGTTCAGATCTGGCCATGACTCCGCGGGAAAGAGACTGGCGGCCTCCTCCTGTGTGACGTACGACTTCAGAACCGCGGGAGGGTCAGCTCTGCGTCGGTCCACCCGGCGGCAGAGTCTTTCTGTGGTTGATGGTGTGGTTAGTGTTTTCTCCTCTGCAGCTCGTCCTTTGGCTCTCTTCACTGGGCCCTAAGGTAGGATGTGCCTTGTCCTGGTGTAGAGCAGGTCCTCCACCACCTGTGACGGTGACCATGTTCACTGGTGACGTCTCTCTAACGCAGGAAGATCGATGGTTGTGCCTTTTGTGGGGAGGGGTCCGCCCTCTTGTGATGGATGGTGCATGTAGTCAGGGAAGGGTCCGTGTTTCCCTCAGTCCTTCCCTGTGGGTTCCCCCAGCAGCCTTACCCCACTTCTCTGCGGCACGGCCTTGGGCGCACCGGGGCGTCTGGGTCTGTTCTGAGAGCTCTTTGTGGGAGTGTCCTGGTGGGTGTGGCTGCTCTAGGATCCACGCTCTGTTGTCTGAGTCACCGGAGCTTCAGATTATGCCGAAAACTGTTCTCCAAGGTCGGCCAGCCTCTTCCAGCATGTCCTTTCCCACAGGAATTCCCAAAACATTTGTCAGCTTCCACCTAGGAAAGGCTTGCCAGCTTCATTGGAACGCTTGACTCTCGAGAGCAGGGCCCAGCGAGCTTTCTCTGTCAAGACCCGGGTGGTCACTACCTGGACTTGGTGGGCAGGCGGTCTCTCACCACCCCTGACCTGTGCCCTTGTCGTGTGCACACAGTCACAGAGGGGCATGGCTGTGCCCCAGGAAGACTTGATTCTTGGAGATGATGTTTGCATTGCATAGGATTTTCAGGTAGCATCATTAGTCCTTTTTGATTTTCTCCTGGTCACCTAAAGCTGTGCACATGGTCCTTCATCTTCTGCCGTATGAGACCGGATCTGAGTGGCGCTGTCCTCAGAGCTGGGAGCGCTGCCCCTGCTGCCCTGGTGCACTTGCCACCGGGTTGACGTTTCTATCTTGTCCTAGGGAGCTCTGGTGGCCTAGTGGCAAGAAGCTACCCTGCAATCCCGAAGGCCTGTGGTTCGAGGCCAGCAGCCGCTCTAAGGGAGAAGGAAGGGCAGTCTCCTCCTGTGTGGTTAACTGCCTCTGAAGACCCCGCCGGAGAGTCTGTCAGCTCTGGCTCGGTTCCGACCCTGTGGTATAACCACAAACCTTCCACTTTAGGAAGGGAACACTATTTCCTATTTACTTTGGATTTTAAAAATTTATCACATTTTCTTTTTTTCTCTCAAAAACATATGGGACCTTCCTGAGTTTACGTGTCATCCTTGCACAGGGACTCTGCCAGTCCTCTCTGTACTGTTCTAATTTTAGGGTACATGCTGCCCAGGCGAGCACAGAATGTTTTGGAAAGGAGTATCCCTTTTGGACATCCATTGTTCGATTTATTCCTAGGTTATTAATAGTTTAATATCGTATGGTACATTTTTAACATAAAGTCCTGGCATTTCCTGTACATCTCACGTTAAATGGGGTCACTGTTGTTTGGTTTTAGCTTTTTGTTGTTCTGCACAACCCCCATCTTTTTTTTTTTTTTTTTTTGAGCGAGCACTTGTGGCTTAGGGCTAAGGAATTGTGCTGTCAGCCCAAAGGTACATGGTTTGAATCCACCAGTTGCTTCTCAGGAGAAAGATGAGCTGTTTCCTCCTGTGTCATTTATAGCCTCTGAAAACCCGCCGGAGTGTCAGCTGTGGGTCGGTTCTAACTCAACAACAAATGACAACAGCAACCACCTATTTTTAAAATAAACATGCATTACTCTTGAATTGGGCTGTTGTTCCCTGATAGACCATTCTTCTCTTGTCTGTATGACCACCATGTCCTCCCGATTCTATCCTCAGTGAGTGTCTGAGCCCTGGCACGGGGCCCCCTCGTCTGGGTGTGGACACTGAGCGGGTTGTCTTTGGCCCTCGGCTCTGGGTCCCTGCCTGTCTTCTCAGTGTGGACACTGAATGGGTTGTCTTTGGCCCTCGGCTGTGGGCCGGCCGCCCCTCCATCCTGGGTCCAGGGTTGGGGAGGCTGCTTGCACCGAGGAGGCTGGGTCCTTGCACTTCCTCGTGTCCACCCCACCCCCCACCCCACCCCCACCCCCGACGCTCACAAAGTCTTTCTTCTGGAATATTCTGCAGGTTGAAAACTTGCTGCTCAGCGACCAGGGGACCATCAAGCTGTGCGACTTTGGCAGTGCCACGACTGTGTCGCATTACCCCGACTACAGCTGGAGCGCCCAGAAGCGAGCGATGGTGGAGGAAGAGGTGAGGAGGGGCCGCCATGCATGCAGCCTGATGCAGAGGTGCCCTGAAGCCGGGCTCGCCGAGTCCTGGGGGCTGCGTTCGCTGAGGGCAGCCGTGCTCGGTGCCCTCGTGGAGCGGGACGTGAGGCCTCCCTGTCTGCAGGCAGCTCCGTGCGTCCTCTCCTCAGACCCCCTGGGCCCTGGCGAGGGGCCGCAGACGCAGCCAGTTCACCTGTCTGGCTACTTCCGTTTCCATCCTGATCTCCCTCACCCCCAGCCTGGCCTCTGACCGTCCAAATGATGTTTCTGAAACCACATCTTTCTTTAAATGCGCCGACCAGGGGGATTCTGAGGCCAGGTCCGGAGAGACCTCTGCCCTCCGCAGGTCATGGTGGTTCGTCCTGTGCGGCCTCAGGTGCTATGGGTGGGGGACGCAGCCAGGCCTGGCCACGCACGTGGTCTGCAGTGAGGCCATGAGGGAAAGACGTTAGACAGTGGACGAGTGTGAGCGCGGGAAAGCTGACCTGTGCCTTCAGGATGAGGGTCCCCTTGGGAGGGTCGTGCTCTGGGGCACCAGCGGGACTCTCTTCCTGTTCTGTGAAGTGTTCACTCACACCCAGGCAGGTGCTGCTCTGAAGACAGCTTGCCTGTCAGGAAAAGATTTGTACAAATGGTCTGAACAGAAAACAAACCCAGAGGCAAAAGATGGGGATGTAGGGTTCTGAGGGTGTGGTGTGCCCGGCACTGGGGCCAGCCGCCTGCCTGGAGGGCCGCCTTTCCTCGAGGCTGTTCCCTGGCCGCGTGCTGGCCTCAGCCGCCCACCTCCCCTGGCCTGTCCCCGCGGATGCTTGCTCAAAGTCACTTTGCCTGCGCCGAGGCCTCTCGCTCCTGTGCGGGACGCTGGTCGCCTTTCTCCAGGCTCCTCAACACTTGCATCAAGCCCTGTGTTAGTGGCGGGGAGGCAGATGGAGATCAGTGGTCCAGGGCTGCGTGCAGAGAGGCCACCGCCCAGATTCTGACCAGCTCTGCCGCCGCCGGCCCTCCTGGGACAGTCTCTCTCTGCTGGGTGCACTGACCCACTGCAGTGAATTCAGCCACCCTCACAGTTACAGGTTTATCAGAGAAGAAGCAGGTTACGAGGCAGCGTCGGGAACGGCTCAGGATGCCGCTCTGTGGTCAGGGCAGCACGTGGACGTGCCTCTCTCCGGCCCTCCTCCTTTCGGCCCAGCCGCCCCTGACCTGTGTCCCGCTTGGGCATGTGTTGCCAGGCTCCTCCAGCTCTGCTGCTGATGCCCACTGGTCTCCAGCCTCCAGCCTCCAGCAAGCCCTCCTGCCTGGGGACATCCCGCGGACTCGCCCTGTGGCCTGGAAGCCCACCGTACTGTCTCCTGATCCTTCTGGGCGGCTTCTCACCACTGCCTTTTGCTTCCTAGGTCAGCAGGTTCCCCTCAGGGATCGCACGTCCACACAGTGCCGCCGACTGCTGGCTCTTGTGTCTTGAGGGTAGTGAACTGGACCTTCCCACCCCAGGAATGGCGCCTCTGAAGCCTAGAAGGATGGCAGAACTGAGTCTCATTAGGGTTCCAGACATCATCTGCTCCCTGGAGGCGAGGAGGGTGAAGCTTCATCTCACGTGCTTTGGGCCTGTTGCCAGGAAAGGCTGTTCCTTGGAGAGGGACATCGTGCTTGGGTGACACCGTGACTGCAGCGATGGGCTCCAGTGTGTCCGAGAGGATGAGAGTGGCACAGGACAGGATGGGTTTCAAATATGTTGTTCACAGGGTCGCCGTGGGTCGTACTCCACTTGACAGCACCTAACAAGACGGGGCTGCCACATGCCTTGTTTTCAACACGGGCAAGTCTTCCCTGCCCCGTGATGGGTTGTTTGGTGGGAACCACAAAGACAAGGACTGCAAGGGCGGAACTCAGTCATCCACTGCACCACGTCCCGGTGACACCACCAAGGGCTTGAGACAGAATTGTGGGTGTTGCTACCCTTACACAGCTGTCTTTGAACGTGCTTCCAGGACACCACGTTTCCCCTTATTCGTGTACCAGGCAACGTTTACCAGACGTGCCAGTGTTCTCATCCCCTCAAACCTTTAAGCGACTCAGAGGCAGGTTGTTTACGGCACTCCAAAAACCTGGCAGACTCTCTACGGGGTAGGAATACTGTTCGGTCCAGTGCCAGGTGTTTTCAGTGCCAGACACCGGATGCCTCTGGCGTGGCGTCCTGGGCTCTTGCGCACGGTGCCTGTGAAGACTTGATGGTTCTTGTCTCACGGCTTTGGAGGCCGGAGGTCCAGCCGGGGCCTCAGTCACCTGTCAGCAGCCTGGGGTCTCCGAGCCTCCTCCTGTGAGGTTCCCTCTGTCAGTTATGACTAGATTCCACCCAGAGTCCACCGCTGCTGGGTGGGAAGGACAGAGGGGATCCAAGAGCGGGTCAGCTGGGTGTGGGTCCTGCCTGGACAGCGGTGAGGCTGCACTGCTGTGGCCTCACTTTAACAGGTGCAGGGGGAGGGATTTAACGTGTAGTTTGGGGGACACATTTCATTCTACAAAACCTGAGGGCCCGAAGAGAGTGGGGCTGGTGTCGGCTGTCGGTGGGATGTGCTGGGGAGGAGTCTGGCAGGAAAGGGGGTGTACACACAGGCGTGCGTCCACACACAAGCACCCATGCATGTTCACACGGCACGTGAGGGTGCTGGACAGACAAGCTCGTGTGTTCTGAGTGTAGAAATCACAGACCCGCAGCCGGGCCTCTGCTTCCACCTACAGGCGGGGAGGTTTCTTGCCGGCCCCGTTCCCTGTTTGTCTTACCCATTTCTCGGGCTCCCAGCAGCACCAACACGTTTCTTTATTTAACCAGTCCTAACTGGGGGAGTGGTGGTCGGAGACGGGGAGACCAGCTCAGGACAGGGTGGAGTTCCGAGCTGTTGTGCATGGGGTCTCTGTGAGTTGCAGGCAGCTCGATGGCGCATAACAACAACAACAACAACAACAACAACCAGTTAGGGAGCTTGGTGGTAGGGACGGTGCTACCAGCACCAGGGTACGTGTGCAGTGACTGTGCTTCACAGCTTAGGGGAGTGGCTGCTTGTTCTTCTGCTCCTAAGAGCCCAGCACTGGTCTGTCAGGTGCTGTGGTGAGATGCATCTCTGGTTGCGGTCAAGCTGTGCCCCCCGCGTTTCAGATGCCAGCAGGATCACCCTGGTCATACGGGTTATAGCAGGAAGGCCTTCTCTGAATCACCTCCGACTCGACGGCACTGAGTTTTGAGAGGAATTTAGTTGACCCTTGAATAATGTGGCATTATAGACATGGACCCCTCCCTGCACGGTTGAAAAGCTACATGTGACTGAATCACCAGAAACTGAACCGACAGGTCACCGTTGAGTGAAGGCCTCGCCAGCGTGGTGAAGCCGTGAGCACACGCTTTACGTGTGTGTTACAGAGTGCGCCCACAACAGCAGCGAGATTGTCCATCCTCCTGCAGAGCGGCTGGTGGCCTCGAACACGTGCCTTCGGGACAGTAGCGCGGCTTCTTGCCACCGGAGCTCCCGCATTAAGTTGTGCACCCACAGCAGCATTTCACCGCGAGGTGGAAAGGTGTTGTGCAGAAGTGTGCGGTTTCCGTGTCTGCTGGCGCTGCTGCAGTGGCGGCGTCACTATTCCTGTTCTTGGATTTGGTCCTCACGCCAGTTCATGGACCTGCAGCGGAGGACGGCTGTGGCAGCCGACAGTACAGAGTGAGGAACGCGGTGTTTCCCTTCAATGTCCTCGATTTTCTCCAGCTCCACCAGGGACACGACCCGTGGGTCCCTTGGGACCACTCAGCTTATGATGCTGCCGGGAGGAACCGGTGCTGCGATTGGCGATTCCTGGCGAGGCCGTTGCTCTGCGTGGACTCTCCTCCAGCACAGCTCCCGACAAGCCCCCCGCCAGGTCCCCAGCCCAGCAGCACCATCCTCCAGCAGTGGGTGACAGGCCTCCGTCTGGTGACCCGGCTTTCTTCTGGGCTTCGTGCATGCGCGTCGTGTGTGTGTTCTGCTGTGTGTGAGGTGCCCTGCCATGTGTGCCGTGGGATAGGGCTCCGTGCCGGGCGCAGCACTCTGCTGCCTGGCCTGTGCTTTGCTTGCTGCTCCGTGGTGCGCGAGACAGCATCCACTGCGTGTGCAACAGCTGTGCTGCGTGTGCGACAACCCCACTGCCTGTGCGACAGCCCCACTGCGTGTGCGACAACACCGTACTTTGTGTGCTCCAGAGCCCCACTGCGTGACACGCCCCACAGCATGTGTTACAGAGCCCCACTGTGTGACAGCCCCATACTTTGTGGGCTTCAGAGCCCCACTGTGTGTGCACTTCAGCATGGGTGATGGCGCCCCACTTCATGTGCTAAGCCCCACTGCACCTCTGATAGTGCCCCACTGTGTGTGCAACAGAGCCCCACTGAGTGACAGCACCCCACTGTGTGTGCACCCCTCAGCATGTGTGACAGCACCCCACTGTGTGCACTTTGTTCCCACTTCGCTCCCCCGCCTGAGTGAGCGTGTGTGACACTCCCCCGTCTCCTGTCAAGTTTGTTCCGTGTCCTGTCGGTTGCTCTCATTGTTACGACTTCGACGCGTAGCTTCGTGCACCTGGAGTTGTGTGGCTGCCAGGTGTCTCTTGGGGGACGAAGGCTCAGAGCTGCAGGCAAAGCCTCTGGAAGGTGAAGTGCTTCCTGGAAGCAGGGCACAGTGTGGAGTCCCACTCGCATGGGTTGACAACCTACAGAGTGAGCACAGGCGTAGCCCCTCCAGGCCCCAGCCTCTCCCCTCCCACCCAGTGAGCACAGAAATGGTGCCATCCAGGCCCCAGCTTTGCCTTCCCTCCTGGTGTCCGCCTGTCCTGCCACTATGGACTGTGGACTGGGGGTGTAGCCCTTGGGCGAGCCTTGGTCTGGCACATCCGTGGACTGTGGACTGGGGCTGGAGCCCGTGGGGGAACCGTGGTCTGGCCCACCTGTGATGGGGTGGAGCCCGTGGCGGAACCATGTTCTGGCCCATCCGTGACTGGGGCTGGAGCCTGTGGGGGAACCGTGGTCTGGCCCACCTGTGATGGGGTGGAGCCCGTGGCGGAACCATGTTCTGGCCCATCCGTGACTGGGGCTGGAGCCTGTGGGGGAACCGTGGTCTGGCCCACCTGTGATGGGGTGGAGCCCGTGGCGGAACCATGTTCTGGCCCATCCGTGACTGGGGCTGGAGCCTGTGGGGGAACCGTGGTCTGGCCCACCTGTGACTGGGGGTGGAGCCCATGCGTGACAGGGAATGCAGTCAGCTCCTTCTTGCTGTAGCTTGGTCTTCGCTGTGTGCTCCGTCATGTGGCCTGTGGGTGGTTGGGGAGGGGAGGGCACAGGTCTCAGTGTCCAGAGCCGGACCATGCTGGGTACCACAGTGAGGCCTCCTTTCCCTGCGGCGTCCCACGCCAGCCTTGTCCTCCACATCTTCCTGGTGTCCATGGCTGGGTTGACTGAACAGCTGGACTGACCAGTTCAGACCCGCCCGGAGGCTCCCTGTCTTCGCAGGATCCGTGTGGCTGTTGCCGAGATCTCATCGGTGACAGGCTGAGATCCCCAGGACAGGACCCCCTTCGTCCACTCGCGTGACTGACCGCTGGTGCCAGTGGTTGTTGTGGCTGCCCCGGCCCGAGTGTCAGCACCCGTGGCGTGTGCGCAGGATGACTGGGGCCTCGGAGGCTCCTGGGTGTTGGCTCCAGTCTCTGGCCTTTTGGTTAATGGCCAGATGCCTGGCCTCGCCCAGGGCCTCTGAGTGCCAGGCCTGAGTGGGCCGCCCTTCTGGGCCATGTCTCCTGCACTCTTCCCTGGAAACACAGGAGTAGGGCGCTCAGCACCTGGACGTGCTGGCCCAGTCCTTGCTGAAAGTTGCTGTCCTCAGGGATTTGTGGACACCAAGTGCTGCTCTCCCCCCAGCCCGGGAAACCGGCTTTCACCTGCCCGATACGGCGCTGGGGGCATTCGAGGCAGGAACTGCGCGCTCTCAGATCGTCCTGGAACGTGCACGTTGTAAACAGATCACGGTGCACATCTGTTCTGAGTGGACAGCGGGGCTGGCCTGCCCTCACTGTCCCTCTGGGACCCCCACCCCGTGTGCGGGTCTGCTCTGAGATGTGTGTGCTTTCCCCACAGATCACCCGGAACACCACCCCCATGTACAGAACTCCCGAGATCGTCGACCTCTACTCCAACTTCCCCATCAACGAGAAGCAGGACATCTGGGTGCGTCACCTCACCTTGGCCTTGGGGGCCGCGTTGGGCGGGTACGGGGGTCTCTGGCCTTCAGCACGCTGGGGTCGGGGCGGATGGGGCACCGGCACTCAGCCCCTGCCTACACGGGTTTCCTACACCCTTCATTGTAAACGGGACACTCGTAACATCGTGGCCACATGCTGGCCTGGGCTTCCGTTCCCGGGGTTCTGATCGGGCCAGCTGGCTCTGTGCCCGAGGGCCACATGGTTCCCAGGGTCCAGTCCCTGTGAGGCGAGCTGCTGTCTGACTTCTTCACATGAGTCTGGTTGAGCTTCATGTGATAGGAGAGGGACCCCAAGACCACCCTCACTTGCTTTTTTTATAAAATTTTTCATTTTAATTGTGATCTTACTGATAGTTTACAGAAATGTTAGAGTTTCATTCATTCCTTGTGCATTTTCACTCCCTTTCCCTCCTTCCCTTTCCCCTCCACCCGCCCCCCACCTTCTTTGTTTTTTTAAATATTTATTCCTTGTTGCCACCCTCACTTCTGACACCAACTGCAGAATGTAGGAAGTGTCCAGTGTTGGGGGTGAGTGGCTAAAGCCCTTGATTGTTAACTGAGAGGTCAGTGGTTTGAACCCAGCAGCCGCTCTGTGGGGGAAGGATGATGTGTGGAGGTGACAGCTTGAAGCCTGTGAAGTGGTTTTTCTGTCCACAGGCCGCTAAGAGGTGGGGAAGGCTTGAGGCCAGCGGTTTGGCTTTATCTTATGACTGTCCCCCACCCCCATGTGGTCCTGATAGCATTTGTGGGTTCAGGGAGTATCCAGCCCTCGGAGTCAGTCGCTGAGGCACCAGAGCCACTCTCAGAACTCACTGAGCAGTTTCCCTCTTTACTGTATGAGAGGCTGTGAGTTGGCGGTCAGCCTGGAAAAAGATGTGAGGTGGGGACGTCTCTGGGCAGTCGGGGCCGCTTGCAGAGTGCTGTCGGCCAGGGGGACACAGACTGCAGTCTCCAGCTTCTCCCAGAGGTCGAGCTGGGGCTCCCCAGAATCTCCACCAGAAACCACCATGCTCCTGGGCCATCTAGTGGCCTCTGTCCTCCAGGTTACACTCGTGTCAGACAGGCCCGCCCAGAGGGGAGAGGCCACCTTCTAGGAGCAAAGCTGGAGCCCAGATGCCTCTAGGTCTGGACCTCTGGTAGCCCAGGGTATGGACAGTTTAACCCCCCCAGCTGCTTGACGGGAGAAAGATGGGCATTCTCCCTGTGCAAGTTCTGCCCCACAAAACCCACCGGAGGGTCGGTTAGGGGTTGGTACCGACTTGATGGCACGTAACAACCACACATTGAAGCATAACCAGTGTGGGGAGAGTGTCATTCAGGGGTGCATTAAAGTCCTGACGCAAATTGGACGGTGTAATTCCAGAACTCTACGTGCATGTGTATTTCAGAGGCCTTTGACCAAAAGTAAATAAAAAGGGAATCATGGAGCACGCTTGTTAAATGCTAGTTAGAACTGGATTCTGAGCCGGGACGAGGTCGAGCTGTGAATTTCCCTGCAGCAGCCCCCCACTGCAGGAGACCCCCCTGAGCTGGAGGCAGAGACGCCCGCGCAGAGCTCTCCCCGGTTATGTTAGCCTGGGCAGGGGGCGGGACCGGGCTGGTCAGGCGACTGCCCCGTGGGCTGAGGCAGGTGCAGGGGCCCAGGTCACCCCTTCTGGGATCTACCAGCACAAGCATTACACTTTCAGGGTGTTCTAGAGGTCAGCCTTGCCAGCTGCTGTGGGTGTCCTAGGAGGGGGATCTCCAGAGGGACGGTTCTCAGGGCCACCAGCCCCCAGGTGTGGGTTCCATATTGTTGGAGGGTCTTTGGTTCATCAGGGACTGCCAACTGCCCGCCCCATGAACAGACTGGAGCCTGGTGAACAGGACGAGGCTGTGTGGGACCCTCGTTAACACGACTCATCGAGTGCTCATACCTAGATTTAAATGCAGGAATTCATACACTCTTGTTTTGTTCTGTTTTCTTACTGAGAAAAGCAGTCCACTATCTTGGGGCCTTTTCTGCATTTTGAATAAGCTTTTCCTGTTCAGCTCACCTGCCAAGTGGCTCCTGGGCTGGTGGCCCCACATGAGACCAGGTGCTTTTGGGCATGTGTGTGCCCCACACCCCGGGGAGCAGGCCAGGTGTTTAAGACATCGAGTATGAAGAAGCCACAGGCTTTGTGTTACCTGGACGCTCCCTTCCAGGTGGGTGCCACACGCTGTGGCTGGGCAACCCTTCACGCTGGGACAGTGGCCAGTTCCTCGCCCTGGTCTGTATTGTTGGACTGGTTTTGGTGGAACACTTGACCTGTATGAGAAGGCTGATCCTGTGGTCTGGGGCCCTTTCTATGACTGTCGCTTATTGCCACGAATGCTATTTTTCTCCTTCCTATCTTAATTCAGAGCTAATTCACTGTGGGCTTCCTAGAGTAAAGCCTGTGAAAGCCAGGTGGGAACCTGCCAGAGAAGGAAAATGCAAACCATTTTTCACTAGAAGAAGCAGTAGAAAAACGCTGAGGCTGCATTCTATCTGGGGCAGGAAGCTGGCGAGGGGCACGGGTTCCATGGTAATAAAACCGTAAAATGTAACAGTGAGACTGTCCCTCCGTTGTCCTTCAACCTGTAAAGCAGGACTTGCCACATCAGTGTCTTCCTGTGTGTCCAGGATTGGGCTGGTGTCAGACCCTGGGCATTCACCTTGTGTCCTCGTCCCCTGCTGACTCTCTCTGGGCTCTGACCTGTGTCCTTGTCCCCTGCAGGCCCTGGGCTGCATCCTGTACCTGCTGTGCTTCCAGCAACATCCTTTTGAAGATGGTGCAAAACTTCGAATTGTTAATGGGAAATACACAATTCCTGTGAACGACACTCGTTACACCGTCTTTCACAACCTCATTCGTAAGTTTTCAGCCATGAAACGACAGCCTGGTGGGAGAGGACAGAGCCGACTGGTGACGTCCTCTCTGCTGTCCCCTCCCAGCCTGCAGCCCTGGGCACCCTGGCATTGACCTCCTGGTTCACGCCAGCTTCCCTCATTTCTGACCATTTCCATGGTGTTGGTGGCTTCTCCACGGAGCCTCCACATTGGGCAGTCCTGGGCTGTGTCCACTGGTGGCTTTTTGAAGTAGTGATCACCTTGTTCAGTTTCATTGTCCTCCCTGCTCACTTCCTCGCTTGCTTTTAAAGAGTGTAAAATTTGGTCCTTGGGTGAAATTCATTAATTTTCAAATGAATATTCCTTGAATGACACAGCAATCTTTTGTCTATTTGCTGAATTAACAGCTTAGTGTTGATGTGATGTTGCTACACACTGTTCCATAGTCGTGTCAAAAACCACAATGTTTACCTATTACGTAGTGTTTGGATGAGCTTCCTGAAGGAGTTATGGTAGGAAGCAGGAGTGGCATCCACTTCCTAAAACTAAATGCCTCTGGAAACTCTACAAACTCTATAAGTTCTTTAAATGTACAGACTTGATGATAGTTATAGAACAGAGTTTAGATCTTTTATGCAAAGCTTACTCTGAGTCGTATTCGACTCGACAGCGCTTAACCGCTGCTGAATGAGACCAGTGCTATTACATCTGGAGGACCATTCTTCCACTTTGTACATCACTCTTTGTCAATGTGCTGTGTGAAGGAACCTGGGTTTCGCCTTGATGCTGAACCTTGTGCCATTGGGGTATCAAATACCAGAATGGTTTCCCAATGTGGACGGTGTTTGATGGAGCTCCCAGTTGTAAAACAGGTTTGGAAGCAGGAGTGGCATCCACTTCCTAAACCACATGCCTCTGGAAACTCTATGAACTTGGTGAAATGATGACAGTTACGGAAAGGCATTAGGTCTTTTGTTCATAGAGCTGCTATGAGTCGTGCTCGACTCGACGGCAATCAACAACAGCAATATGCTTAAGGGAGACCCGGTTGGTGAAGATTTGTGCTGCCGGCCCAAAAGCCCGCAGTTCAAATCCACCAGCTGCTCTGTGGCAGGAAGATGGGAAGTCACCTTCTTAGCAGTTTACTGCCTCTGCAAACCTGCTGGAGGGTCTCTGTGGGTTGGTTCTGACTCTTGAGTATACAACAACAATGTGCCTAACTGGAGCAGGTTACAGGGGTCCCGGGCACCCAGCCACGCTCCCCACGCGGCCCTGGCTCTCGGGGACCGCCCACTGGCTGAACATGAACATTTTTCAGGTTCCATGTTGAAGGTCGACCCTGAGGAGCGACTGTCCATCACGGAGCTGGTCAACCAGCTCCAGGAGATTGCTGCTGCCAGAAACGTGAACCCTAAGTCGCCCATCACAGAGGTAAGGGACTGTCCGTCCAGGGCCCAGGCAGTCACCTGTGCAGAGGCGTCTGAGCCCCCGAGGTGCTTCCTGTCGGCACAGCATCTGGATCGAGCGTTCTAAAGGCTACTCAGAGCACTCGGGGCCGGGACACCGATCACAGAGGGCAGAAGCGGGCCACCCATCTGGGGTCCTGTGTGTGGGGCTGATGAGAAACCCACTTCCTGTCACATACGAGTTTGGAAACTGTGGTTCTCACACTTGTGTGGGAGTGGTGAGAATTTTGTCACGAGTGAGCGCAGACTTGATCCATCAAACACACAGCCGTGTGCTCCTTCGTGGGGTCTGAGGGTTGGGCGGCAGGGGCAACGTGGAACCCTGCCTTTGAGGAGCTAGTGTCGTGGCTGAGGAGATGCTCAGATGCGTGTGTCACACAGCGAACACTGGTGTGAAGAAAACGGAAGCAGCGTCAGGGAGAGGGTCCTAGATGTGCTGCCTTGTGATTCCCTATGTAGTAGGCTGAACGGTGGCCCAGGGCGTGTCCTCGCCACAGTCCCTGGAGTTCCTTGTGATTCCCTGTATAGTGGGCTGGCTGGTGGCCCAGGGTGTGTCCTTGCCACAGTCCCTGGGCTTGTAAAAGAATGGCTGTTTTCTAAGTGGCAAACGATGTGATAAGGCTTAGGGTTTTGAGAGGAGCTTCTTCTGTAGGATTCCACAGCTGGGCCACAAACACAGCGGAGTCTGTGCCTAGAGAGGCAGGGGAGTTCTGGGACAGAGGAAGAGGCAGCAGCTACGTGAAGGTGGAGACAGATGGGAGTGATGTGGCCACGAGCCAAGGACATTCTCGGGCCAGCGGGAACTAGGAGAGACAAGGAAGAAGACTTCCCTACTGCTTCCAGAGGGAGCGTGGCCTGCAGATGTCTGTGGTCTGTGGGTCAGGGGTCAAGGAGTGAGGTGGGCCAGGCAGGTCCAAGTGAGCAGGTTTCTCAGGCTGTGCCTTCAGGGTATGTGACACCGTCATGCTACACGGTGCTTGGGTGTCTTTGTCCAGAACTGAGTCAGCCTTCTCGACGCAAAGGAACCTGGGAAATGGAGGGCATGCTGTGGGCATCCGTGGCTCCCAGGACGCAGGAGTGCGGACTGGCCTACTTCCTGTTTGACAGGGAGGCTTCTTACCTCTTGTTTGACAAGGAAATACTCACTTCCTGTCACACTGGGAAGAGACATGTCACTCTTAATAGGGCAGGATGATGTCCCTCCTTCTGTTTGCCATGGAAGCACCTCCGTGTTTGTCAGGGAGACATCTCACCTGTTCGGCAGGGAGAGTTCTCATTTCCTGTTTGACCAGGAGATCCTCTCGTTTTTGTTTGATGTGGAAACTTCTTGTTTCCTGCTTGATAAGGAAAAACTTCCATTCCCGTTTGTTACAGAACGCAGTCAGTGCTCTCATCCACGCGTCTCGTGCAGGTAGAATTGTGCCCAACTGGTATTCAAACACCAGGGTCGCTCAGAGCACAGCAATCTCAGTGTTTCTTGAGAGAGCAGACTTGAGTGTCTGCAGCATTAAAGTATAGGGTGAAGCCTTTGATTGAAGTGTAGGGAGGAGAAGAGACAAGGAGGCGGAAATGAGGGTCAATAGCAATGGTAGATTTATTAGAAAGTTATATCCCCAAAGAGACAGACGTCCTCCCTGAAAGGAGCTTTAGAGGGAAGGCCCCCTGCGTGTGAGCAGAATCTCGATTTATAGCTTATTCTCTGGGCAGATGGCGGGGCTTGAGCTTGAGCCTGTGAGACGATGCCACAGAGAGTTCAAAGTCTAGTGGGCAGGTCTTGTTCTCGGATGCCATTCAGGCCCAGAGTGTCCACTTCTTCTGACATCACTCATCTGCGCAGAGGACTGTTCTATGTAAGTCAACATCTGCTTCTTGGCTTTGGTGTAACTTTTGCCGCCTCTGTATTGCTGATTCTAATCCTGAAGTTCCCATTTCTTGTTTGATCCAAAGTCACTTTCTATCAAGGAGATCCCTCTTGTCCCGTTAAGAAAACCCTTCACTTCCTCTTTGATAAGGAAACCTCTTCCTTCCTTTTAGTCTGGAGGACACTTCATCTTCTGTATGACAAAGAAACCTCTCACTTCCTGTTTGACAAGGAGATACCTCACTTCTTATCTGTCAAGGAGATAGCTCTTAATGTCCTGTTGAAACAAGAAAACCCCTCATTCTTTTTTTTTTAAATAAAATTTTTATTTTATACTGGTTTGCTTGCAAAGTTCATATACATTGTTTTCCACCCTGGATCCTTCATTCCTCTCTGACAAGGAAGCCTCTCATGCCCTCACCTCCTGTTTGAGAAGGCAGCAGAAGTGGTCAGTGGGGAGTGTTCCTGGCCTCCCAGCACACGGTCCGCTTGTACATCTGAACCCAGCATTAAAAAAGAAAAAGCAAGCCACCAGCCCGTCATTTGGCCCGAGTGCCACAAGCTAAGGCCCGGTTTCCATCTCTGCACAGTTCCACCCTGAGGGCTCTGACTTTGCCCTGTCTCCTCCTATCTGAGTGAAAGCACTTGGACTGACTGTGTTTGGTTTGACCTGGAGGTCCCGGCCCAGGTGCTACACCCAGGCCCAGCCCCAGCCCCATCATGTCGTTGAGGCTTCCTGGCCCCAGCACGGTTGCTTCCTTACTTCCCTTGGCTGTTCAGAAGCTGATGGTCCTTGGTCAGTTTGTCTTCCTCCAAGGGGCCCTGGGGCCTGGTCACTAGCCCTCTGCTCTCTGATGCCTAAGATGTTCTTACACTGGGAAACTCCCTGCTTCTGTCCATCCAGCTGGGTTCCCACAGCAGCCTCATGGCAGCTACATTTGGATCTGAGAGATAGATGGGCCTCAGTGGCCGTCTCCTGGACCACACTGCCCAGTCTTCCCGCCAAGCACGCCTTTTCTTCAGTCTTTTCCGACCATGTGGGGAAAGAACGGCCTTGTTCTCTTGGTCGCTCTGGCCTGGAACTTTTCCTTTCTTTGATGGCTCGTATCTGATCCTCCGGCTCATCGACAGTTCTGCTTGTAAGGTGAACTGCTTCCTCCACCTGCCACCTGCTCACATTCCCAGCCCCACCCTCTCGCCCAACTCACCACTCCTTCACACCCGCCACGGTCCACTCCCCCGTGCATGTGCTGGGCACCCCTGGACAGGTTTCTCTGCGTGTCTCCCTCCCGGGCAAATGTATAATCCTCTTGTAGAAGTGTGAACGGGGTCGGAGGGACCTGTGGTGGCTGGGTGGTGAGGAGTGGTGCTGCTGATGCAGAGGTCGTCAGTTTGAATCACCCAGTGGATCCTTGGATGAGGGACAGGCTGTCTTCTCCTGTGAGATTTACAGCCTCTGAAAACTGCTGAAGGGTTGTCTGTGCCTCACTGCCGACTGCACAGCACGGAACAGCAGCAAAGCAGGTCGGAGGCCCCTGCAAGACCCCTTGTGGCTTTCCATGTCACTGAAGAACATTGAAGGCCCAGACTTTCCCCACGGTGTGGCCACAGTCCCCCAGTGCTGCACTGTCGTGGGCCTGGAGGGTCCATTCCTTGTGGACATGCTAAACCAGACACCGCACGTCCACGGCATAGCGAGGCCTCCAAGGACTCTTCCCGGGTGAATGTGCGTGCACCATCTGCATGTTAACAATGGGTCAGATGTTCCAGCTAGAGATGTTGTTACATCAGACCCAGCCTTTGGTGAGAGGAAAAGCTCGAGACTCCCGGGAAATTCTTTCCTTGGATTTCAGAAGTGTTCGGGTGGGGAAGGATGGACCTGTAAAGTGGACTTGCCTGGCTCCTCGCCTCTGAAAGGCATTGCGGCCTATATGGTGGCATTCCAAGGTCCCTTAACACATGGAGCAGGTAGAAACTGTAGCTTGCGTTTTGGTAGCAGTTCATGTGAAGAATTGATGTTCTTGCGTTTGGAATCTTTGCAGCTCCTGGAGCAGAACGGAGGCTACGGAAACACGGCCCAGGCCCGAGGGCCACCCCCGTCTGGGTGCCCGGCCGCCCGGCCCTCAGGCTCTGTGAACAGCGGGTACAGTGGAGGTCAGTGCTCGGGCAGGGCTCCCTGCGCAGCGTCCACTCTGGGAGGCTCTGTCTTTTGCTCATGACTGAGTTCCTGCTGTGGGCTCCCTGCCAGTCACGAGGCCCGTGAGGGACATGGGGGGGCAAAGCCCTAAATCCCTGCTCCTGGGGCTTGTGATCTGAGGGGGGAGGTGGAATGCAAGCCCCAGGGTCCCCAAGACACTCTCGGGTCAGTGGTTCCCTAAGGAGGTGCCACAGAACCCAGCAGAGCTGCAACTGTCCTGGTCACTTTGCTGCACAGATCAGAGTCGGCCGCAGGGGAAGGCTCCGGGGCTGTGTCAGGAGGGCTCCAGGCTGGCCTCCTGTCCTCTCCCAGGGAGAGTGGAGGACAGTGCTTATGTCCCCAGCAAGCCATATGTACCAACCAGCGACCTCCCATGAGACCTGGTGCCCAGGGCTTTTACTGGGGGTTGGTCACCTAGCGAGGGACACACAGTGACTAACCTAAGTCTCCAGTCCACCTAAAGGTTGAGCTAAGCTCTGTGGCCCACTGAGAATCACGTCGTTAGTGTGGACTGCATATTGCTGTGGTTATTAGTGGCGCTGCATGACTATGACTCACAGCGGCCTGTGCACAACGGCTGTGAAGCCTGCCCTGTGCTGAGCCTGCCTCACCATCTGTGACGCACCCGACTCCGTCACCACAGCCACCGAGTCAGTCCATCTTATCCGGGGTCCTCCTCTCCTGCGCTGACCCTCTGCCCTTCCAAGCATGATGTCATTTTCCAAGGACCGGTTCCTTCTGGCAATATCCCCAAAATATGTGAGACAGAGCTTCAAAATCCTTTCCTCCAGGGAACAACCTGGTTTAACCGTCTCCAGGACACGCCTGTTTGTTCTCTTGTTCATGGTTTGTTCAACGCTCTTCTCCAGCACCACAACTCAAAGGCATCGATTCTTCTTCCGTCATCCTTAGTCATTGTCAGATGCATAGCAAGCTGGTGGGAAGACTGAAGCCTAGATTAAGTGCACCTTGGTCTCTAGACTGGTGCTGTTTCTCTTTTGCACCCTGGAGAGGTCCTAAACAACAGCTTTCCCCAAAGCAGCTTGTCCCTTAGTTTCTTGACTGTTGGTGCCAAAGGTGTTGATTGTGGGTCTGAGCAAGGTAGAATTGTTAACGACTTTGATCATCTCAGCATCTGTCGGGACACTGCCAATTGGCCTGGTGATGAGGCGCTTTGTCCTCTTGATTTTGAGCTTCAGTCCATATTGAAGACGATAGTCCTTGACCTTCTGGAGCAAATGCTTCAGGTCCTCCTCACTTTCGGCGAGCAAGGTTGTATCATCTGCATAGTGCAGGTTATTGATGAGTTTTCGTCCGATTCTTTATTTTTTTTATTTTTTTTTAATTTTTTTTTTATTTTATTTTATTATTTTTGTGTGCGTGTACTATCAAATCAGATCTGACTGGTACAGGAGGAGATTGCCCCTCCTTCCCCGGCAGAGCATCTGGTGGATTCGAACCGTGCACCTCTGGGATTGTAGTTGCAGCTTCTTGCCACTAGGCCACCAGAGCTCCCCTTCGTCCGATTCTTATGCCACATTCTTCTAAAATCCAGTCCCCCGACTGCTCTGATCTGCATATTGATTGAAGAGGTGTGGAGAAAGGACATGTCGCTGACACACTCCTTGATTTTGAACCAGGCAGTGTTCCTTTCCTCTGTTCAGACAGCAGTTTCCTGGTCTGCATGTAACTTTAACATTTTGGATGTGGACTGCATGGCCCGCCAGGAATTGTGTTGTTTGTGGACTGTGACTCCGTGAATCACACTGTTGGTGTAAGCCACTGTGAATCACTTGTTGATGTGGACTCTGTGACCTAATGAGAATTGTGTTGTTGGTGTGGACTGTGTGGGCCACGGCGAATCACATAGTTGGGGCGTGTGGTTGGTGTACAGTGTGCCCACTGTGTGTGATTCATGCCCTCGGTTAGATCCCACGGCCCGCCAGGACTCACGTTGTTGGTGTGGACCGTGTGACCCTCGGTGAATCACGTTGGTGTGGACTGTGGGGCCCACCCTGACTTAACGTTGTTAGTGTGGGTCCCACGGCCCATCGTGAGTCACGTTGTTGGTGTGGACTGTGACCCAACGTGGAATGACGTCAGTGTGGACTCGGTGGCTTACCGTGAATCGTGTTGCTGGTGTGGATCCTGTGGCAAGCCGTGGGTCACACTGTTGGTGTGCACTGTGAGTTACGTTACTGGTGTGCACTGTGTGGTCCAAGATGAATCATGTGTGTGGACTGTGTGAACCCCTGTGAATCACACTGTTGGATGATGCGAGCCACCGTGAATCATATTGTAGATAAGATCTGTGTGACCTACCAGAAATCACGTTGTTGGTGTGGATGGTGTGACCCATCGTGAATCACACTGTTGTGGATTGTGTGACACCGTGAATCATGTTCTTGGTGTGGACGGTGTGACCCACCGTGAATCACGTTCTTGGTGTGAATTGTGTGACACCGTGAACCACGTTCTTGGTGTGAACTGTGTGACACCATGAATCACGTTCTTGGTGTGGACGGTGTGACTCACCGTGAATCACGTTCTTGGTGTGAATTGTGTGACACCGTGAATCACATTCTTGGTGTGGACAGTGTGACCCACCATGAATCACACTGTTGGTGTGCACCGCATGGCCGTCTGGAATCCGCTGGTGGGTGTGGCCTGTGTGGCTCACCGTCCACACTGATCCAAGTGACCGTGCAGGCTGTACCCTCTGAGGACATCCGTGTTACTGCCCTGAGCTGGCAGCAGAGGCCATGTCCTTTTGTCTGTGCATGCCTGCGGTTCTCTCACCTCCTCATTCTGTGGTCCAAATGGTCACCTGAGAGAGAAGCACAGCGTTTGTTCCTTCCTGACCCCTTCCGGCCCTGGGAGGACTTCCTTTGGTGAGCACCAAGCATCCCCTTTTAGTGCCACCCTTAAGGTCCCACAGTGACCTCTGTGTGGCTGTGTGGCCCTGTGGACACACCCACCGCTGTCCACTTTTCCATTGCCCATCTACCAGACCGTACAGCTAGGACATTCCCACGGCCCACGCGTCGGTGAGGCCACAGACTTGTCTTCCTGCCACCCCTCAGTTTTCTCATCCCTGCAGGGGAAGCGCACGGCTGCACCGGTGCATTGATCTCATCACCTGCCACTCAGCAGGTCCTCCCACCCTCCATCCGAGCTGCACAGGTCTCCCACTTCAGAACTGCCCCCCGCAAGCCAGACTCTTGGTCAGTTGACCCAGCTGTTGACCCAGCACTGCTGGTGGCAGTGGATCTGGGAACTCTCCAGGCAGCCCCCTGGGAAGAGAGGCTCCCTGCAGTGTGCAGACCGGCACCTGCGTGCATTTCCTGTACCTCTCTCTGCCTGTGGGAGTTCTCTGGGCACCTGCTTCCTCAGTAGAGCACGTCTTTGATGTTCTCGAAGACCTGATATTTCAGGTTCAGGAGAATATTACATCCTTCAGGCAAATACATAAAAATATATCTCACCTACATACAAACGTCTCTACAAATGTTAAAGGTGTGTGTATGCGGCCACTGGGCCACCCGAGCTCCCTTTGAACACCGAGCTCTCACAGGATCCGGAGTTTAGCTTGGCGACTAGAAAGCTCCTGAGATAACAGTTCCTGCAGTCACCACTGGGCGGCACTCACGGGCTTTCGCTCTAGCCATCGAGTCCCCTGTGTCCACAAAGTGCGGCCAGGGTGTGGATCAGAAGCAAGGCTGGTCACGCCGTGTCGCGTCCTTTGTGCGTGTCGTCAGAAAGGGCCAGTTCTTGGAAAAAGACACCACGCTGGGGGTTAGCGGAGAGGCTGAGAGGAAGGCCCTCGGCAGGGTGGATTGTCTGAAGCCATGGCCTTGAGCGCGAGTGTAGATGGTGAGATTTCAGGCTGCGGTCCACACGGTGGCTATGCGCCAACCCCCGCTCGAGGCACCAGCATCAACAGGAAGACCCTTTCAGATCCCGCGAGTGGACCGTCCAGGCCCAGAGGCCTTCAGCCTTCAGAGAGAGATCGCTGTGCACTCCGCTCCGGCCCGGCCCTTCTGACCTGATGGGTTTCACGGAGACGCTCACAGCATGCCTGGGAAGTTCGTGCCCCAGAGCCCAGTCAACCCCGCCAAGCGCTGCCCCCACGACGTCCTGCCCAGCTCAGGGTCAGTCCGTCCGGCTTCCCAGGCTGTGACTCTTCGTGGGCAGACCCTGCCCGTCGTTCTCCCTCGGAGCAGCTCGGGGATTTGGCCGGAATGCAGAACTCATTGAACCGTGTCCTTAACGCCACGCACGAGTCTCCAGAATCAACTGGACAGTTCATCAGTAAGGACGCGGCAGATTCTCGGGTTCAGAAGAGGTTATAGAACGGGATAGATCCCAGTGGGTGTCGGGAGCGTTTGGGCCGAACCAGAGGGGACCTGGAAGATATTTGTGTTTTATTGCACAGAGACATTTGACTGTGGATCTTAATATGGACGATCTTGAGAAGAATGGGATACAGAGCCTTTAGCTGTGCTCGTACACAACCTGTTCATAAACCAGGAAGCACTTGTTCAAACAGAACACAGGCAACTGCATGGTTCAAAGTGAGGAAAGGTGTGCGCCTGGGTTGCAGCCTTTCACCATTCCTGGATGGTGGGCGAGGCGGGCTGGAAGCTATGCCAAGAGTCCAAGGGGGTGGATTCTGAAGAAGAATGTGGTGTCAGGACTGAAGGAAGCCTCAGCGACAGCCGGTGTTATACAGGTGACACAGCCGTGCTTACGCAGACCGTCCGGGTGACACAGCCATGCTTACGCAGACCGTCCGGGTGACACAGCCGTGCTTACGCAGACCGTCCGGGTGACACAGCCGTGCTTACACAGACCATCAGGTGACACAGCCATGCTTAAGCAGACCGTCCCGGTGACACAGCCGTGCTTACGCAGACTGTCCTGGTGACACAGCTGTGCTTGCGCAGACCGTCAAGTGACACAGCCGTGCTTACGCAGACTGTCAGATGACACAGCTGTGCTTACGCAGACCGTCCCAGTGACACAGCCATGCTTACGCAGACCATCAGGTGACACAGCCGTGCTTACGCAGACCATCCCGGTTACACAGCCGTGCTTACGCAGACCGTCAGGTGACACAGCCGTGCTTACACAGACCGTCCTGGTGACACAGCTGTGCTTACGCAGACCGTCAGGTGACACAGCCG